GAATAGTTGTACCTTTTGTGGCCGAATAGTTATTTGTTTTTAAATGAATTATGTTACACTTTATGTTTTATATGTTGAAGAATAATCTAAATTAGCTTTAGAAAGTTAGAAAGAATTTGACTATAGACTTGGTAGATGGTTGGGGGTCTGTGGTCGGCACGACTTGTCCTATAGTTAGTAGGTGTTTAGGGCGGGTCGTGTCATGTTACTACCAAAGAAGCATAATTTGAATTAAATATGTCAATCTTGCCTGTCATATCATCTGCTACATCAACAAAGTGCGCCATGGGTCAGTTTATAATTGGTCGGACTATCAATGTCACCTGCCACTTGTGTTTTTCTTCCCAAATTGCTTTAGTGGCCATAACTTATTCGTTTGGACTTTGATTCGAGTGATTCAAAAGATGTTGAATTTGTTTTTTGATATCTACACTATAGACAATTTGAAAAACTAAAATTATCCGTAAATAAATTTGTTATCATCAAAACATATAATATGATTGATTATGGGAAAAAATCACATAGTTATACTATAGGAATAAACAGAAAATAACTGAGAAGTAATAAAATAAAGAAACACAATAATTAACGTGAAAAACTCCCAACCGGAGAAAAAACCACGATCCAAAAGGAAAATTTCCAATTACACAAAACACTATCTCAAAGTAAATACGCAGTTGACTAGAACTGGTATACAAGGCTTAAATATTTCAATTGGGCTCAAGTACATGAGCTCTTTTTATAGTGGTTGGAACACACCTATTCATTGTATCTTCTCGATGTGGGATAGCTTCTATTGCTTGGTGAGTACACTCTCTTCTTATATCTTTCCTGCAAAATCAAACAATTTCAGGTTTAACATTGTGAGGCTCTAAAAAAAGTGAAGAGACACTTATCTTTTTTAAGTTGTTTATTTACCTTTTATTTTTCCGTCAAGTGGCAGGACATACCACACACGATTTTTTCCTGATTAAATTTACTTTCATCCTTAGTATTGTCAACGAAACTTAATTTTCGTTAGCTTTGATCATCTATATGTTAAGAAATTTATACTTATAGATATCATAAATTTGAATCTTCCTACCCTTATATGTTGTAATATTCTAAAAATAAATCGTCATAATTTAACGAACTAGTAATTAATAAGACATTATAACTTCCATGCGATGCAATGAGGTTCGCTTTTCTTCTTTATTTTTCACTATCTTGTGAGTTTGTTATATAAAATTTACAATATGTTGCTACCCTTCATATTGTTTAATTTTTTTTCCTTATAATAGCTTTTTGTTTTTTGTTTTTTTTTTGTTTTATTTAACAAATAATAATATACTTTACTATTAAAATCTTACTCCATGCAACATACGTTGAAACAAGAGTATTTCAAAACATAGAAATAAAAAAAATAATAAATGTGAAACTTTGACAATGACTAAAATAGAATCTAAACTTTGTCAATATTATAGAAAACAATTGAATGGTTCTCATTAATAAATTTGAATAACAAAAAATTGTAAAAAAAAAAAAATTTAAGTTCAAATTTCATTTTGGTCCTAAATCTTCATATTTATTCCTTTTAGTCCTTGAATATCAAAAATACCTATTTTAGTCCCTTAAATTTTTTAAAATAATCATTTTGTCCCTTATCATTATTTAGCCAGGTGTGTGTTAACGAATGAATGAGGTAACTTTAAACTTATATTTATTCTCGTGCTAAAGGATGTATTGATGTCATATTAATTTATGTCAATCCGAACATAGCTCATATATATAAAGTTGATAATACCAATTTATCAATTCTAACATCGGTGGTTCTATTCCTTATTCTACTATTGTTGAACTAACAAAAAAAGCAAACTCATTCGCAAGTATTAGGTATCGACGTGTGCATGTTGAGTGTCTATTCCAAAAAATTTTTAGTACTATAAGAGTATGGATACTACTTTCATGCTTGTGACGTCAGTGTTCTATTAAAAGTCATGTGGGATCCACCAATATTTAAAAATTATTTATATAGGAAAAATCATAGTGTGAACAAAGGAAGTATGGTACTCCAATAATACTATAATTTTCCCGTGTCTACTACTCAATTCCTTCATTAACCAGCCTATGTGGCTTCAATATATATCCACATCAATACGTGAATATAAATATTCAAAGTTACACCATTTATTTATTAAACAATTGAAATCGAAATAACAATGACTAAAATGACTATAATTTTAAAAGCTCAAAACCTAGATAGACATTTTGATATGTAGACGAAAAACTAAATAAACAAATAATTTTGGGACAATTGAAATTTGAACGAACAATTTTTATTATTTTCTATTGGAAACTTAGGCCCCCAGCTAGCCGCCCCATAAACTTATTATTTATTTATTAATCCAAAACGACATGCGTACGTCTACATCTCCTCATTTTTTATGCCGTTTTGGCGTTGACGAAATTTGAACGATATGTCGTTCTCGAAACCAATATTTTGGAAAAAGAAAAAGAAGCAGAAGTTTCAAACGACTGGTCGTCAATGTCACGCAGAAACCATTCGCCAATAACTCGAAAAGTTCGTCGATTCGTTAATGGCGGAGGATTCACAATCGCTCGGAGGCGCGTGAGGATCGATTCCCCTTTTCCGCATTTGGGCGGCAGCGGCAACGGCAACGCAACACAATCGCATCGCCCTTCTCTAATTTCCCTTCCATATATTTAAATTCTTCAAGTTTTATCCTCTTTGGATCAGACCCAGATTTTGAATTTCAATTGCATTGAAATCCTTCAGATTTCTGCCCTGGCGTTTCCCATTTTGGGGAAATTGATTCGTCAGGTATTTATGTTGCCTCTATTTTTCTGATCAATTCGCTGTTCTTCCCATGAATTTCATCTCCTGCTTCTCCCAAATGTTGTAGATTATTTCATCACATAGTGCAGCGTTTCCGAATCCTGCTTCATTTGTCCCTTTTTGGGATGATCGATGGTTTTTCTTTTCTCCTTTTTCTTCTTTTCATTGTTTGAACATTTTCTGATGGTCGAGGAGGAGTAATCGTAATCAGAATTAGAAACTTGAATTGTTAGTTCATGTATTGTTTTCCTCTTGAAATTCTTATGATGGTGGTTCATATCATTGATTTGTGTTAATGCGGCAATCTTATTTCTGATTTTTTTTCTTGTTTAATCTTTTTGTAGGGTTCCGGGTATTGATTCTTGTTATATATTAGATTAGATTAGATTAGATAGATTGATCAGATGGGAGATGAGGAAGAAGTTCCCATTCTGAGCACTGAAAATTGGCATGACATTAAGATGTCAATAGTTGCTAAGAGGAGGCCTTGTATTGGCATTCCCAATTCCACAGAGGTAAAAAGTTGCAGTTCTGGCTGTGCTTTTTCCAGGCAGGAAAACAGTAATTTGGAGTCATTGAAACGTTCAACTTCAGCTTTGAAGCTTTGTGGGTTGATATTCTTGTGTCTTATAGCTATGGTAGTAGAGATTATTGGTGGTTTGAGAGCCCACAGTCTTGCAGTTATGACAGATGCAGCTCACTTGCTGAGTGATGTTGCTGGTTTCTCTGTTTCCCTCTTTGCCGTTTGGGCTTCGAGCTGGGAGGCGACGCCCCGACGCTCTTACGGATACAACCGTCTTGAAGTCTTGGGCGCCCTTGTGTCTGTACAGCTTATATGGCTGGTTTCTGGGTTCTTAATCTACGAGGCAATCGACCGGATTCTCAGCCAAAAGGCGAAGGTGGATGGATTGCTTATGTTTGTCATTGCAGCATTTGGGTTCATCCTTAACTTATTTATGGTCTTATGGCTTGACCATTCTCACTCTCACTCTTCTCATGGCCATTCTCACTTTTGTCATCATAATCATAATCATAATCTTCACTCTCATCAGAATCACTTGGATCATGACCATGAACATGACCATGAGAAGGAGGAGGTTTACACTCTAACTAAACAAGAGAACAATAGTTCGTCAATGTTGAACATAAATCTCCAAGGTGCTTACCTTCATGTCATCTCAGATATGATCCAATCCATTGGGGTGATGATTGCTGGAGTCATTCTCTGGCTCAAACCCGACTGGTTCATCGTCGATTTAATCTGCACCCTTGTGTTCTCTGTTCTTGCTTTAGCCACCACTTTCTCTATGCTGAGCCATATAACTGGCATACTGATGGAAGGAACTCCCAGGGAGGTCAATATCGAGAGCCTAGAGAACGACCTCAAGGACATAAAAGGAGTCCATGACTTGCACGACTTGCATATCTGGTCCATCACGGTCGGAAAAGTCGTGTTGTCTTGCCACGTCGTAGCCGAACCCGGAGTTTGTTCTAGGGAGCTAATTTCTAAGATTAGGCACCTCTGTGAAAAGAGATACCATGTATTTCATAGCACCATACAAGTTGAGTAGAGGAAATGTGGGAGAAGGAAAAAGCATTCAGTTCTAGTTATTATACTTTCATCATGTATATTTTGCATACCATCTTCTCTTCTCTATCTTTAATTTCTTGATAAAATTTTAACTTGTTTAGGTTTGTGCCAAGAGTTTTATGAACACTTTAGTACAACTTGTTTGTTCTTTGTTCTTGAAGCTCCGAACTGAAACACCAGTGATTCTTTTACTATGCAATGAGCTCCCTGATCCCATTTCCCCATAATTTGCTGAAGTTTGTTTGATGAAAGTTTTCAGAGGACGAGGGGAAAGAAAACATAGTATAATCAAATTTCTTTTGATTTATATGCTTTCAAAACGTCTATTTTGAGCCCCATACTTTCAACTTTTATTCATTTTAGTTCATGGACTTTCAAAACATCCGTTTCAGTCATTGTACGTTTAAAAATGATCATTTTTGTCTTTTTTCGATGACAATTCTAGCATAACAATTAACTGATTAAAATTCTTGAAAGATAATTTTAAAGGTGTATTCAAGGGTTTCTACTTAGCATTTGCGTTAAAATTTTACAAACTTCAAATATTAAATCTTTTAAATATGAGTTAAAGCCATCCTTAATATTTAAATTATATATTATACAATTCTCCTTTTTTGCCTTTGCTTTAATCAAATATTTGTATTAATTATTTATTATTTGAAATTTGATTTAAAAGCTAGATTACGTTTGATTTCTTTTATATTATATAATAATAAAAAGCATGCAATCAAATTTTACCAAAACTAAATCCTAAAAATCTTTTTAGATTTAATTTAGACATCAAGATTTATTTTTAAATCGTGCTTCTCAATATGTAACCGTTACTTCTAATTTTTCTCACTTCAATGGCCATTGGTACATATTTCTTCGGACCACATCAACAAAATTGTTATATTAAGTATTGAATAAGTTACTTTTTTGATATAAAATATATAAACTATTCATCAAGATAACATATGTAGATAGCAATTCCGATGAATCATATGGTTATTGCTCCGCTCAGCAACATTATAAAAGAGAAACCCTTATAACGTCATATTACTTATGTACACTATATATATATATATATATATATATATATATATCGTGTTTTATAATTCAGCAAACATTTATAATCGCAAAGGTTTTTTTGCAATAATTTTTCAAGTTTCGAAAGGTAATTACTAAACTTCAAGGGATGAAATGTAAGTATGTAAATATAGTGTTTTTTTTTTTTAATTTTTTTTCGCCTAAAAAATAATATATTTGACATTGTGATTACTCGTCTCATTTAGGAATCAAATTTGGAATAAAATCTACTAGTGGTGATATTATATACTTTTATGTTTGTAGCTTGAAAATTACATTAGGTGCAAAAAAAAAAAAAATTGAATCATTAAAAAAAAAATCTTCCTAATAATCTAAATACACATTAACATAACTCAGGGATTCAAGACATGTATTCTTTTGGTCGAAGATTCAAGTCCCCAGCTCCATATTTATTGTAATAAACAAAATAAAGCAATCTAGATAAGTGCATAGTTCATTGCTTTACAAGTTAAAAGAAATGTGCCACATTATAATAGTAAGTGTTAGAAATTTTTAATAATCTTACTGCATAACTTTTTATAAAACCACGTATCTCTTATCAAATTTGCAGGGAATGGTAACTTATCCATTTGAACTAGCAAATCCTAAATCTTTCCTTCTGATATGTGATGGATCTATCCACAACTTGTAACGTTAAATTGGTAGGTTTTACTTCACCTATCCTTAACTTCTTCGAGATAGATAAGGGCATGAGATTGAGGTTTGATCATAAATCACAGAGTGCTTGCCTTACATCCTTATCACCAATGGAAACTGGAATGATGAAACTCCCTAAGTTCTTCATTTTTTGAGGAAGTTTCTAGTCAAAATCGTGCTACATTCCTTGGTTAATGCCACAGTTTCAAACTCGCATAACGTTCTTTTCTTTGTAATGATATCCTTTAGAACTTCACATATTGGGCATTTGCTCTAGCGCTCCAACTAGTGGAATGTTGATTTGAAGTTGTTTTAGAACATCCAATTAACTTCTTTAACTGAGTATCTTGATTTTTCTTCTATAATCGTTATAGGTAATGTGGAGGTGGTGGCTGGAACTCTACTGTTATGGTTTCAACTACTGGTTGATTCTATTTTTCAAGCCCTTTATTGGCAGATAATCCAGCATAAAAGTTGTCGGAATTTCCAATAGGTTGTTTTTCTATAGTCTCTTGGTTTTTCTAGGGAGGCGTAGGTTTGTACTCTGCTAGGGCTACTATGACTTTTGTCACAGACTGTTTTTGTCTATCAACAGTTCTTCCCTCTAATGATTTTGCATCGCTCCTACCCATGTCCTGTCTAGATTTATTCATTCTCTTTTGGAGCTTCTTCCACTAATGCTCCTGCATTGGCTATCATACTATAATCATCTAACAAGTCTTATGGTAGTTTTTCCATATGCTATTCCATCTCAACTTCCCTTCTTGTTAAGTCTGCCTCAATGATATCAGAATGAGATAGGGGTAACACTTTACCACTTCTCAATGTTATGGCATTGCACTGTTTCTTTTTGTCCCTCTTCGGATGCTTTATGTTGCTTGGCAATGCCCCCTGTGGTCCTATTTTTCAACGCTGCTACAATCTGTCCCATTTGAACGTCTAGATTCCTTAATGACACTGCCTGACTTTGGATTAATGTGGCCTGATTCTGGATCGTAAATGTTTGCTTTTTATAGTGGCATCATTCTTTGTCATGTACTCCTTTACCAGGCTCTCCATTGAATTAGAGAAACTTGCTGCTACCTTTGTACCTTGCTGTTGATTTTGTCCTGAAAAACCAGGTGGGAAATTTCCTTTGTGCTTAATCTAATTTGCATTTTGTTGTGCTTGATTTTCCTAATTCCCCCTTCCCCACCCGCACAACTCAAGTTAGGGTGTTGCCTCCACCTCAAATTATAAGTGTTAACATAGGGTTTGTTTCTATTTCCATAAATAAAAAATCGAGGCTGAGTTTCTTGGACAGGAACTAAAATGATGCTCACCCCTACAATAAAAGCATGAAATGACATGTACATTACTAACATCAGTGTTTGTAGGTAATGCTCCAGCAGCTCCATGTTCTTTATCACATGGTAGTCAAATTTGAAACCTGGGAATTAATCGATGTCAGTACATCATCATAATATATTCCTTTCAAGTTTTTTCTAACTATAGCTCTTGAACAAAGCTCCATTTGCCGACGCATTTACTACCAATCTTGTGGTCTCATTAAGCCCATTATAATGAGTTTCAATTTAAATGCACCTAGGCAAGCCATGATTTGGGCATCTCCATAATAGCCATTTAAATCTTTCCCACAATTTGCTCACTGTTTCCCGCATTTTGCTAGAAATTATTGATTTCACTTCTGAATTTGCACTCTTGCTTGGATGGATGTACATCATAAAACATTTCTCGACTAAATCATTTTGGGATGTAATGGATTATGCAGGTAAAGAATTTAACCAATTTCGAGCACCATCCCGCAACGAATTGGGGAATAACTTCAACTACAATGCTTCTTTGGATACGCCTTGAATCTTAAATGAATCGGTCAACTTCAGGAAATATCTCAAATGGAGATAGGGGTCATTGTAGGCGTACCCATAAAATTGCCCCACAATTTGGAGCATTTGAAACACGACGTGCTTACACTCAAGTTGCTCTACTTCAATTTCTAGTTCTGCTATAACTAGGTTGAAGCCATAGAATGCTAGAGCGACGTATGCTCGTATTGCTCCTTTTGTGTAGTCAACCAATAAAATAACATTTAGAGGAGGAAGTGATGCTACACAACAACTTCTTCCTCATTATTTACGTCAACCACTTGAAGTTGGTTTTTTGGCCTTTAATCTCAAATTAATTAATTTTAAATAAATAAATAAATTAATTAATTAATATTTTAATGATAACAACCTTAATTTTCTTCTTCATCGTAGAGTTTGATATAACAATTCTAATGGATCTTGAATCACCAAAATCAAAGCCCAACAATTTGTAGTGATAAAAAAAAATAGAAAGAGAGAAAAGAAATGAAATGAAAAAAGAAAAAAGAAAAGAAGAAAGAAATGAAAAAAAAAGAAAAGAAAAGAGAGAAAAATAAAAGGTTTAAATATAATATATATATATATATATACATACCGACATACATACATACATACATATATACATACATACATACAGTTACATTAGCTACTTGTAAAAATTAAGAGGCTGACATAATTAGTTAAAAAAAAGAAGAAAAGTTATCGGTGGAGGTTTGGTTTTTTTTTTATTATTATTATTTTATTCCATCAAATCTTTAGCTTTTGACTTTTTCCTCCTCTATTTAAATCTCTTCTTCTCTCAAAATAAACCAACAATTTCTCTCCCAAAATTTCTTCATGCTTCTTCTCTCCAAGTTTTCAATTTTCTTATAATTTCTAGTGAGATAAATTTTTAATTTGAGAGATCTTTGACCTATTCAATTTTATTTCTCCTAACCATCCAAGGGCTTTTATTTGTAAGAATTTTTCTTACAAATTTGTGAGCGAAATTTGTAAATCCACTCTTTGCAGAGTTTGTAAGTTCGTTCTTCAAATTTCAAATCTTATAAGAGTTGCTTTTAAGTCCGGAAAAGAGCGTTGTAACAGTTTGATCTTGAATCGTGGAAATGATTGGATTTCTTGAACTTGCTCTAAGAAAAAGAAGATTTTGTACCAGTTTGACTCCTACTATGGTAAAAGTTAGAAAGTGGAGTAGGCCAGTGTTGCCAAACCACTTATAAATTACATGAAATGAATTGCTAAAATTTGTTATTCATATTTACAGTCAATATTCACATTTGGATTAATTAGAATGCTTGAAATGCATTTCTAATTTATTAAATCATTTGTTTTAAAATTATTTGTTCGTAAAAAGTTTACTTATTTCTTTAAATTGGGTCGATTATATTAAAAAGTTTATAAAGTTTCATTAAAMCATATTCACCCCCTCTAGGATTGTCATACCGATCCAACAATTGAGAACCTCAGGATTCAGAGCTCTTTGAGGTTATCCATCTGTCTATCAAATGCTTGTCGTCTTCTTTGTTCTTGCCTTCTTTGATGGAACGTTCTCTTTATCTCCTTA